AGCAGTATTGTGAGGTTACCTCTGTTATTCTATATGTACTACCAGTATTGTGAGGTTACCTCTGTATTAGCAGTATTGTGAGGTTACCTCTGTATACCCAAAATCAAAGGAGAGTTGTCAATTATGTGAAATGTGTTCAATGTTGTGTCTAGAAAGTTAAGTATTGAATAAAGACATATACAGCCTATTATTGGAACTCCATTGTTTTTGGTAAAAAGTTGTAGAATAATATTCTAAATGTTATATTTTATTTTATTAGATTGAAAGAAAACATTAAAAGATTTAGTAAGTTAGATTTTTTTTCATTTTAACATTCATAACACAAGACACTTTGAGACACACAGTATTTTCGATGCTTGTCCTTTTGAAAGTGCTAATTCTTTTCCTTATTTGGAGTGATGTTGACATAACTGTCATATGCCCTTCCATATTTGGAGTGATGATGACATGCCTATTAATATGCCCTTCCATATTTGGAGTGATGATGACATACCTATTCATATGCCCTTCCATATTTGGAGTGATGATGACGTACCTATTCATATGCCCTTCCATATTTGGAGTGATGATGACATAACTATTCATATGCCCTTCCATATTGGGAGTGATGATGACATACTCATTCATATGCTCTTCCATATTTGGATTGATGATGACATAACTATTCATATGCCCTTCCATATTTGGATTGATGATGACATACCTATTAATATGCCCTTCCATATTTGGAGTGATGATGACGTACCTATTCATATGCCCTTCCATATTTGGAGTGATGATGACGTACCTATTCATATGCCCTTCCATATTTGGAGTGATGATGACATAACTATTCATATGCTCTTCCATATTTGGATTGATGATGACATAACTATTCATATGCCCTTCCATATTTGGAGTGATGATGACTAACTATTTCATATTCATTTCTATATTTGGAGTAATGATGACATATCTATTCACACTCTTTATTGGGATTGTTTAAATTAAATACCATATTTTGAATTGATTATATTTGTATATTTGTTAATCTCTTAGTGTATGCCCACAGATACTTTTTTTTATCTCTTCCAGAAACGTGCACTAAGCCTATTGTAAATTTTGTGAAAGTAGTTTTTGTGATTCTGAGTTGGAAAGCACCTACTGCATCCCTGTTATATTTTTCTGTAAGTTTAATTTGAAATACTTTTACATGTATTCTACATGAATGCCTACAATTTTTATCTGAAAAGTGAACGACAGCGAGCAGAACACTGTACAGTCCTACTAGCAAAGAAGGATGATGTATGAATTCACAGCCATTTACAGAGTCAGCAAGTTTTGTTGTTGTCATAGAAATTTATTAGTTTAAATGATAAACATCATAAGAATATCAACTCAATTAGTTTACCCTATAACCAAATATACAACACTATGGTGTAAAGTTTATGGATCTACGGTTACTAGAAGAATGGTTAGAAAACTCTATTGTTAGATATGCTAATTATCCATTGACTTCAATTAGATGTATGTCCAACCACTGTGACATCATGGCTTATATTGCTATCGCCGTTCGTTTCCCATGTGTTTCCACTAAATTGAAGAAATATAGCTCATTAAGCTGAAAGATCGACATAGAAGCATTACTTGAGATTTCGTTGTTCTCGAAAGAAATGAAAATACAGATAGTTTGTTTTGTTGACAGATTTGCTGTCGATTTTGGTTCGAAATTGAGTATGGATTTTGTACCCAAAAAAACTCTGTCTGTGAATGTTCTAAAATGTTAGTATTCTTTACTATGTTACTAGTTTCAATCATAACTTTAGATAATAACGCATTTTTTGTTAAGGTTAGCGACGTCAGCCATTTTGGCTGCCTTGTCATAAAAGTTTGGGAAAATTACTGAAAATCGCATTAAATTATATTTTAGTACAACGCATTGTTAAATTAATATTTATAGTTTATATTATTATCATTTCTGTGGGTTAAATACTAAGTTGAATTATAAAATTTTCATTTCAGTAGGGTGATCGTAATTCTGCATCTGCTGATATCCAACATGGCCACGAAGATTTGTACCTCAAAAATGCATCTCTGAATATTTCATAACTTTTTTTTTGTACATTGAATTATATTCTTTTATGAGAACACTGTGCAAGTTACACAGGAAGTTTTATGGTTTCATAGTCCATTTTCAATCTAATTATATATATATATAACCCCAATCGATGGAATCATCTTTGAAGGAATATGTAATTTTATGTAAATTACAATCGCTGAAACATCGGCAGTTTGCTAATTCCCTTTGTTTTAAATGTTTACTGAGACACGCATCATAACAAAAGAAGCAAGAGAGTTTCCTAACTGTTCTTCTAGTAACCGTGATGGATCATAATATTTTTACCCTGTGTTTGTCAGCTGATGCTTCTACATGTATTATAATATAATGTCTGTCATTTATTTATCAGGTCTATATGTATGCAGTGTGGCATGGCTGGCTGGCATCAGTATTGTTATTCTCACTTCTGTATTGGTTGACAGTTAATTACTTGACAACAAAGTAAGTCCACTTGCACAAATGTATGATATGTTAATTACATGCTAATATTTAAGCTCCTTGCATTTTTGTTGGAATTGACCTTTTAAGCTTTGTAAAAATATATGATGTTATATTATGACAATATTGATTCACCCATTATACTTAGTGATGTTTTTTCAAAATTGCTACTTGGCAGCTATTTTATGAGTTTTTTCGACTTATTTCATTCCAAGTTGGTGTACAACAAAGATAAAATGACAAAGACAGAGGTGTATCTATTCACATTCAGGGTGGTAATTACTGGTTGTAAGTTGAAGTGTTAGGACAGTGTATAAATAAATACGGGAGGCATCCTTATAAACAAAGGGTATTCTATTTACATTGTTTTTTAGCTCCGCTGTCGACTTTGTCGAGCGGAGCTTATCATATGCGTGATTGTCCGTCGTCGTCTCCGTCGTCGTCGTCCGTCGTCCGTGTCAATGTTTTACTTTTTCGACTTCTTCTTGAAAACTACAAGCCTAAATGCTTTGATACTTGGTGTATATGTACCTTGGGTAGACCTCTCTTAGGTTTGTTCATTTCATGTTGATATCTTTAATTCTCTAATTTTGGTGAATATTTTTGTCATTTTTGGTAAAAACTATATTTTCGACTTCTTGTTAAAAACCGCAAGTGCAATTGCTTTGATATTACATCTATAGGTACTACATGTGGACCTCTCTCAGATTTGTTAATTTTGTAATGATATCTTTAATTCTTTAATTTTGGTGAATATTTTTGTCATTTTTGGTAAAAACTGATATTTTCGACTTCTTGTTAAAAACCGCAAGTCCAATTG